CCGGAGGAAAGGCAGCGGGCGGCGGCGGTGGCTTCGGCGACGTCCCTAGAGTTCGTTTGGTGATGCCGCCTGTGTCCCCCCTTCCTCCCCCGGGTTCCTCTCCATGGTGGCTGCACCAGGAGCCTGTCCCTGCCTTAGTCGTTGGAGGTGACGTCGATGTCTTCTCCGCTCGACTGCTTGGTGGCGAGGCGCCATCGGTTGATGTGGTGGGAACCTTTCTTCTTCTGATCCGAGTCGGGCCCTTCCTCCTCCAGCTTCTGCCGTTTGTATTTCGTCCTCCTGTTCTGGAACCACACTTTCACCTGGGGGAGAGGGAGAGACGGGCGCTCGTGGGGGGTCCCGGCACAGCCGGCCCCGGCGAGGGATGGTGCTGCGACCAGGCAGCAAGCTCAGCTTTCCTCGGAGATCAGCAAAAAAGAAGTCCCTGTCCCTCCAGGAACGCTCCCACGGCCACCCTGCCCTGCCTCGGTTTCCCTTCTGTCTGCGACAAGGTGGGACGGGCCGGGGGGGACAAACAGCTGGTTGCAGGGTGCGGGGTGCTGCCGCCTGCCAGCTCCGCTTTGCTGCACGTCCCGGCCTTGGAGAAACCCAAGACGGGTGAAGGACACTCAATCACACCTCAGACACGGGGCCAGCAACTTACAGCGGGACCCTCCTCACAGCGCCGCAACCCGGTGCCCATCACCCTGGTGTCCGGGCTGCGCCCCCATCGGCACAGCACGGCGGGAGCAGCCAAACCCGGCACCGTTGCGTTCGGTCCCTGGTGTCAGGACGCCATGGGCACGGCGGCCGTGGCTCCAGCGACCACGTGGGATGACTGACACACAGAGCCATCCCCACACCTCCAGCGAGGATCTGTGTCCCAGGGCCAGGGTGGCATCATTAGGCTTGGGCTGGGCTGGATAGAACCAGGTAGCTAATTATAGATAGATTATAATTACAATTATAGATCATTAATTTACCACTTTTAGGTTTCAGGAAACCTCTTCCACCACGATGGTGGTCAAAGACTGTCCCGGGAGCCCGGAGAGGCAGCGGGGTCTCCATCCTTGGAGATAA